TATATTTGTCAAATACCTGCAAAAATATATTTTGACAGGACACCGAAGAAAATGCCATAAAATAAAAACTTTGAGGACGTCTGACCCCCTTTTTGCAACGAACTAGACGTCTGACGATTTACATACGTTATCTGTGACCTTCAAACAGATAATGTGCAAAATTTCTATAAATTTTGAGCTTTGAGGAAACAGTTTAGATGGTTCTTAAAATTACAACTTTGCCCGCGTCCCAGAGCCAGCTGTCCCGGAACTGTGAGTGCTGACTGTACACTAGCATTCTAGCACTAAAGTACGACCTATTTTGAAAATATCCGCCTTGCGAAAACTCTTGCATGTTTTTGGCGCCACCTCCTGGACTATAAGGATTTTCCTGTAAATATTTTCGGGTAATACAGAGTGTTATATTTATTTAAATTTATCGACTGTTATCTATTTCTTTTCCCCAAACCAAGGTTCTCACTCAACCCGCGTCGATTACGCAACAAACGCGCCTTACAGTATAATGAATTCAAGGTTAAAAATATTACTGAATTGAGGAATGGAGATAAATAAAAATGAAAGAGGTCTCAAGATTACCCAGACAAAAATTATCACACGATTATTGAAAGAGTTTCGCATGGAAAATAGCAGACCCATAGCAACACTGATGGAAGTAAATTTCCACAGGGATAAAGGAAAACCTATAGAAGAAAATATTCCTTATAGAAGGCTGATTTGCAGTATGATGTACTTGGCAATGGTGACAAGACTACACCTTTTCCATATGTATTTCAGAGATCGTCAGTTTAATTTCAGAATGCGTCAATTGAAATTCAGATTAGTAAATTGTATTTCGGAAAGCGTTAATTGTATTTCAGAATAAATAATTTTATCTGGGAAAGAATCAATTGTATTTCAGATTAGTTTATTTTATTTCAGAAAGTGTCAATTGTATTTCAGATTAGTTAATTTTATATCGGAAAGCATCAATTGTATTTCAGATTAGTTGATTGTAGTTCAGAAAACGTGAATTGTATTTCAGAAATTGTCAGATGTAGTTCGGAAACTACATAGTAGGTATCTACGCAGATTTCCCCAAATCAACACAAGATAGGTGTATAGGTGACTCATTATAAATTTTATTTAATACACTACATTGATAATATCTGAAATACATTTGACGAATTCTGAAATACAATTTACAATTTCTGATCAACAAATAAATAATCTGAAACACAAATGACGATTTCTGAAATACAAGTGACCAAACTGAAATACAAATGACTTTTTCTGAAATACACCTGATGAATCTGAAACACAAATGATGTTTTCTGAACTACAACTGACAAAGTTGAAATACAAATAACACTTTCTGAAATTGAACTTACACAACTGAAATACAATTGACGCATTCTGAACTAGAATTGATGAATCTGAAATACAAGTGATACATTCTGAAATACTTATGGAAAAGGTGTAGATATTGCTTGAAGTGTTTGCTAATACACATAAACAATACAAGCATGGAAAGCTGGAAAGAAGATTTTGCACTATCTTAGCAACTAAAAACTATGGATTCATGTATGAGAAAAATGATAGAGATTCAGAAAGCTATGTGTGAATTAGTGTGATGCGGATTGGGCTCGTGATAGGCAGACAAGAAAGATCGTAAGTGTTATATATTTATATTATGTTCCTATGCTGGGAATTCAATAGCTCTTGCGCAGCTCAGGAGGTTGTCAATTTGAGAGGTATTTTAGCAGACTTTGGTCAGTGCAAACGTGGTAATTTAAAAATAGACAATCAAAGTGCTATTTCGCTATTTCCATGATTAAAAACTTTGAGGACTCTAAGCGAGGTAGACACATACAGCAGTATGCAACACACATATCATTTATATGGCTCTGTAACACAGAACCTCTGTAATGAAAGAGCGCTGCGCAAAATAACGCGTAACAGAAGAACGCGTTATAGCACAACAAAGCGTATCATTAGAACGCTGTAACAAGACGGCGCTTGTAACAAAATGGCGCTGTAACAAAATAGGGATGTATCGAAATAACGCTCTCACGTTGTTTGAAGGCTATCGATATAAAAAAGACAAAACAAATGTCGCGTCCAAATTGGGAGATGCGCAAAGGGCTCTTGTAGAGGCAGGTCAGTAACAAAAGAGGTAACTAGAGAGCATAATCAATAATTATGGTCCATGTGTTAATGGAAAAGAGGCATTAGCAGTAAAACATAGTATAAGAGACATGGCGAAAACCACTGACAAACGTCCGAAAAGTAGTGTTCGGCAGTTCAACATTGTAACATGCTATTTTTTTTTCCATGTATTATTTTATGAACAAAATTGTCGCCTTGAATTCTGGTGACTACCATTATTAAAAGAAGGTCTCTGCCGCCAAAATATTAATAGTAATTATTATCCTAGAAGGCACGCTTTTCCTGTAAATTTGAAGTACCAGTTTAGTACGAACACTTTCCGTTGACTATTTTTTAAAGGGAAGCTCTGCTTGTTCAGCCTGTCCTATTCTTCAGCCCTTTTAAATTTTGACTTTCGACCTGGAAGGTTGATCCTGGCCTGGGGGCAGCCATCTTCCTAAGTCAAATATCGATTAGTGTTCTCGTGGAAAAAAGTACCTTATCGGCTATCAGGCACTAGCTTAACGAAATAAAGTTACGTAAGGCAAAGTTCCGTTGATTACCGAAAAAATTCAATTCATAAGTCTTGTGATTACCGTTTTATTCAAATTTGAATACTGAATCTTTCGTGGGTGCCAGTTTCTTCCGAGGAGCCAGTTTCTTCTGAGGAACCCGTTTCTTTCGAAGAGTTTGTTTCTTTCGAGGAGCCCATTTTCAACGAGCCCACGTTTCTAACGATCACCATTTTCGGAGCATGGGCATAGAGCTTTTGAAGGGATTTCCTAGTCCTAGAGGAAATGAGTCCCTCACGTGTCGACACTTGTTCCTCAACATTTGACGAAAACTGTGAACTTCTAGTCTCTATCTACCTATTGATTCAAGGCTAAAATCTGCAATTTGCATCTGCAACATCCATCGTCAAATAACAGTAAATGGACGGCTATCGTACTCCGACGTTTTCGTTAAAATTGAGGCTTGTATACAGTTTCATTAGTAGCTATTTACATATTACTTTTTCTTTTTTTATGATCAATTACCTTGTCTTATTAACTTTTAGTACTGCCATGTTTCAAGAATGTATATTTTACTAATCATTAATCTGAACTAAAGTCAAGGTTGAACAATAGCAATGTGCTCAAAATTTAAATTATTGTCTACCTACATTGTCAAAAATTGATCATTTTTTCTCCTGGGATTCTATATCTTATACAGAATGTCCCACGCCGTTTTTTCTAGGTGAAAACTTCCTGTACATTGTGATATTATTTTTTTGGAGTTTGGTGATTCACAGTGAAAATATATACTATATAGTTGATCCAAAACTAAATCCGTTGCACGTCTACAATGACACCGACTGTGTTTAGATCTAATTTGCTAGTGAACGCATTGTGGCGTGCAACGGATTTAGTTTTGGATCAATTATATTTTGATTTGAAAATTGCTTAAGTGTTTTATTGGTTTTACCTATGTCAAGATTTGGTTGAGTTGTATGCCTTATTTGTTTCTTTTTCAGAGTTACTAATTATCTATAGCTAATTAATTGTTTTTTTAGGTGTGTTTCTGAATTTTCACACACTTCAACATTTCACGTACCTAATTCAATTATTTATTTGTTTTCACAAATTCCGTAACGCCCTGGCCAGTCTGTACTTATTTAACTATTGATCCACCCCTAATAATTATTAGCTGAGCAAACTGCGCATATTATGGGCCTCTTGTTAATTCGTTAACAAGAGATTCATTTCTACCCTAAGACTCAAGAAACGAAGATCAAAACCGAATTAATAGATTAAAAGTGGAACATGCCGGTAGGAAACTAAAAGCCAGTAAAGCGACAGGCATTGATACCCTTTCTGACGAAACTCTGGAGTGCTTGGATGATGACGGCCTACATTTTTTACATCGTATTTGTCAGAAAGTTTGGTCCTCCGCCGGTGTCTGGCCAGACGAATGGAGCACTGCAATCTTTGTTCCACTTCATAAAAATCTCTGATAAACCCAGACAATTATCGTCTACTATTCGATCTCTCATTCAAGCAAGGTATATTCTGCCGTCTCGTTTGAAGGGAACTTGAGGCAGATTATTGAAAAGGACAGAAAGCATTACTTTCCAGTCTATATTTGCTTTTTGGACTACTCTAAGGCATTTGACAACCTAAAGTGACCTGAACTATGGGAAAGTCTTCTCTCTATGGGAGTTCCTCACCACCAGATATTTCTCATACAACAGCTCTATGAGTCGAATACAGCTCGAGTAAGAAGTGACGGTAGCATGTCTGACCACATTACAGCAAAAAAAGGAGTTCGTCAGGGATGTGTGTTATCGCCGATGTAGATTAACATCTATTTCGAATTTGTGATGAGACAGTTACTGGACGGTGACAACTCTTAATAGATTCGATTCGAGATATCTAATTTAAGGTTTACCGACGATACTACTCTTATTGCTTCTTCTCAGGGTGAATTGTTAACCTAACTTAACATCTTAGAACAACATAATGCAGCATGTGATCTCAGTTATCAGTATCAATTACAATAAGACCAAGATCATGATCGTTGATAGGGAACATGACAATTATCCTGGAATAACATCAGTAGGCCGTTGTCAGGTAATCCAGAGTTTTGTATACCTCGGTTCTTTGATCGAAAATTATTCATATACATATAATTTACAAGTTGACTAACTATTGTCAAATAGTTCCAGGAATTTTTCATAAGTGGGAAGAACCATGTTTATTGGGCGATAGTTCTGACAATTTAGAATTTTTTTTTCTATAGGTATGATGGAGGAAGAATTTCTCATTCTTCTGTCTACTTTTGTTGATAGCATAGCTACTGTGATGAGAATAACTTCAAACATTTGGTAATAAACTCACCTTAACATAAGTCATGAACCTCGGACTTTGCGGACAAACTTTTCCGGTGACGGCATCAACGCCCATGACGCCTTTGAAGCCTGGTCTTGGCTCGTCCATACTGCTCATCGCAATGGTGCCCCATTTATAGGCGAATTCATTGCTTTTTCTTCTCCAGAACTATAAAAAAAAAACACTAATTTTTAACTGTAAATAATTTCAATATTTCAAAAGAAATGTTTTAAAACCTCAAAAAATATGATAGGTTATTATATGTACCTATACTCTCCTCTCTCTCCTTCATGAAAAGTATTAATTTCATATCGAAGTTTGAAATAAAGGGTGCTTTTAAAAACTCTAAAGCAAAAAATAGATAACATACGACACCCACGAAAGTGTAACTGCTGCTAGAGAAACGAAATTGCAATAAAGTTCTGTTTGTCTCTCGAGTTGCTTTTTTTTTGCTTTAAAACGTGCTCTAGAATTGAATATAACCATTAAAAATATTTTCTTGCTTATTGAAATGGAGTTAGTAGAAGAGTTGATAAAATAAGGAGTTACTTACCTCTAGAAACAATGTAACCCATATGACGTTGAAAACGCAAAAGAACGGTACAGTTTCCGAGAAAATGCAGCCAATCAGACCAAGTACTGCAGGAACCGCTAAAGCCAATGTGTAATATTCCAAAAAAGCAAAATACAAAGCGATGGATTCACCGAAATAATTCTTAATATCATCTGAAAGAGAAATTCATCCGTTATTAGTCAGATTCTATAAATCCTCGTATTGAAATAATTGGTAGAATATAATTTCGCCCTGGCGGCGATTCGATTAACTTTTTCCAAAACCGAAATTGTTCGAACACGTATTTATTAAATATAGCGTTAATAATTCGATAAATCGTTCAAAATTTGGAAATAATTGAATTTCGGCCTCTATGCCCGGCTATGTTCTATGTCCGAAAATTTAACGTACGCACACGGTCGCGGTATTTCAATTAAAAATTGTTAATTAAATGCCCCCCGCTTCCTGGTGCAAATTTTCGCCGGGCTCCAGATTTAATTAAAAATTTGTTTAATTGTAATTGTATTTTTTTTTTTTAAATCTGGTTTGAGTGCATAGAGAGACCGCGATACTTGAAAGTTGAAAAGTTACGATGGGCCTTGTTGTTGGTTAAATGCTTTTTTAAGAGAAAAATATTGCAATTAAATTTGTTCAGAATCTTGGAATGAGAGACAATTTTGAGCTGAAAAAAAGTTGACATTTTTAATAAATTTTTTATGGTTTGCTTCTTCATGATAAATAATGTAGGTATAAGGGGTAACAAGAAGTCGAAATGTAGATAACGCCACCTATCGATATTTTTCTACAAACCCTGCAATGTTTTGAAATTGTGAAGATTGATGTTTTTCAAGAAATAAGTGTTTCGAAGGAGCATTCTGTTACAGTTCTACCAAGAAGAACAAATAGATTCCAGTAAAATTCATCAGAATAAACAGGAATGGTTTAAATCGGAGTCAGTGTTGCCAGATGAATTTTAAAAAAATCGTGAGAATCGAGAAAGAAAAATCGTGAGAAATCGTGAGACTAAAAATTGCTTAATATTGTAAAAAAATAAAGCACAACAATGTTTTTTCATAGATTTTTGCCAAATTAAACATGATTTTACATCCATAAGAAATAAACATTTTATTATCAAATCTTGTTTCCTTGTTTTCTCCGTTTTTTAGCAGGTGTTTCTGAGAGCTGAACCTCGTTTTCACTATCCGCTATCCGCAGGATTGCTCATCCTAATAAGTCGTCGATTCTCAAGGCGGCAGCTGGTCTGCAAGTGACGTCACCACTATCAGCAACTGATAGTGGTGACGTCATCCGCAGACCTCGATGGATTGTTTGCGATTCAGGCAGTGCTTTTGAGTTGATTTTTTTGGGAATTTTAAATTTAGAAAAGGTGATTGCACATTTATGAGTCCGTTTTCTGGACTCGGAGGTCTACAGCTGACGTCACAGATAGTGGGGTCTCGTGGACTTGGCAAATACTTTCAGCTCAATAAGCATTCCTATATTACGTCAAGTGTTCAGGCGCGCATGTACCAGGAGCAGCGTAACATAACTAAATATTGTATAGTAGATTTTTATTTCGATTGTTCCCGATTACATTATATTTGATTAGTGATTTGATTTACTACAGAGAGAATTCGTGAGAATTGCTAACTCATTCGTGAGATCGTGAAATTCTGACCAAAATCGTGCAATCTTACGAATAATCGTGAGATCTGGCAACACTGATCGGAGTTCAAACTCTATATTCTGCTTAGAAGTGTACTTGGTTCAAATGGATATGATTCAAGAAACACTACAAAATGTAATTAGATTTACAACAGCTTATAAAGGAAATGTGGCTGAAACTAAATAACTAAATGATGGTGCGGTTGAAGAAAAGACTCATAATTTATATGCAGTTCTTTGGCTATAAAAAGGACATGAATGATGACATTGTCACCCACGTTTCAGAACTCAAAAATTTGTGAGACGAGTTACGAATTGAGGTTAGTAAAGGAGAAAAGTACGAGTTAGTAGCTCATGTAGCTACGACTTACAAGAATTATTATTGATTTGATATTGTCTGCAAATCTGAGGTGATTGAGATATGCTCCATCGATGTTTAGGCCCTTGTTTTCCCATTCCAGCTTCTTAACAACATACTCCAGTGCTAGGGTAAATAGATTGGGAGAGATGGTATCCCCCTGTTGTACTCCTTTGCCAAGTGATATTTTGTCTGTTTTTAGATCGTCGTCTTTTTTAACGTGAAAGGTTGCCTTATCATAGATATTCTTAATAATTATAGAGTATCTCGAATCGATTCTTGCGTCCTCCATTGCTGCTAGAAAAGACCGGGTTTCAATACTGTCAAAGGCTTTCTGGTAGTCCACAAACGCCAGATGTAGGGGTATGTTATATTCTGTTGTTTTCTCGATGACTTCCCTAATTTTTTGCAGATGGTCTGTAGTGCTAAAGCCCCTTCGAAAGCCTGCTTGTTCTACCGGTTGGTAGTCAGTTGATTGATGATAATTCTAGTGAAAAGTTTATATTGGTGTGATAGTAGGCTTATTGGTCTATAGTTTTCTATATTTGAGCCTTTCTTGTATATTATCACGACTTCGTCATTTTTCCATGATTCCGGGATTTTTCCCTCTATCTGACATTTGTTTAACAGCATTCCTATTATCTCTGTTAGTGTTTTTCCACCTATCTTCAGCATTTCCGGTGTTATTCGATCTTCTCCCGGACTCTTGTCGTTTTTCATCTATTGGAGTGCGTATTTAATTTCTGATGGTGATATTTCCGGCATGTTTTCTGAGCCTACGTTTGTAATGTGTTTAGGTGGTCCATTTGAGCTTGGTATAGTTGTTTGGTAGAGCTGTTCGTAGAATATTTGTATTTCCCTTCTAATTTCCTGTTTATCTGTGATAAGGTTTTCTTGATTGTTTTTTATTTTTACCATTTTCTGTTTTCCCCTCTCTTGGTTGAATCTTAGAACTCTCATGCCTTTATTTTTCTCTATAGTTTCCAGGATTTGGCTTGTTTTGTTTTCTCTTAGGTCTTTTCTTATTTATTTTTTCGTTGTTTTATTTGGGGTATTATATTCGTATCTGGCTTTAATTTGGTATCTGATCTCTGCCTTATCCAACTGCATGTTTTCTTTGTGGCTGTAGTTATGTCATGTGATATTTTATTAAGGATTTCATCTATATCCTTATCCTGGAGTGTCGGTGGCCTTAGCGCCTTCTCCAGTTCTTTTTGATAGGTTTCCTGATTGAGTTGTAGGGAATGAATGTCTGGTTATTAGCCTTCTCCTTTCTATGTTGGTGTTTATTTGTATCTTGGCACGCACTAGTCTATGGTCGCTTCTTGTGTCAAACCCTGTTTACCACTGTGACTTGATGAAAAAATGCCGTGGTTGGCAAGTTCCAAAAATTTTTACTATCTTCGTACCAATCCTGACTAACAAGTTGTCCAAGTCGGTATACCTACGATTTTTTTACCTTCTGTATTACGTCACGTCTTTAAATCGACGTCATTGGTAAGTTCACTGCGCAATGAGTGTATCCATGTCCTCTTCTACTAGCATGTGAAAGAAATTGACGGAAATACATGTTTTTTGCAATAATTTTACCAATGATTTTCGCAATAAATGTTATACTTGCAAGTTGCCTGAACATAACCCGATTTTCTGAAATTTGACTTTGTCTCCAACAAAAATGACGTTCAGAATTTTAAATTTTCTCACGTTCCGACGACTTTAAAGTCGCGATTGACAACGTCTTGCCAAAATAAAAACGCCGACGACGTACCGACGATGCGGTAGTCTATATACTTCAACTACATTTATTTCTTCGTCACGCTGACGTTGCGACAGGTTAATTTTTGGGACTTTAACAAATAGTTGGCTGCCCACGTTGGCTAATCGTCGTTTGGACGTCTCATTCCAACTACGGAGAAAAAGTCGATACACCACGAAACTTTACACAATAAATGACGTCGGCTTTAGTAAATTGTGGTCGCAAATCAGAAAAATGCTATTTGGGTGTAGCAACAAATTTAGGCCTCGAGATGAAAAAGTAAGGGATCATTATCATTCAACTAGTAGATATAGAGGTCCAGCTCACAGCATTTGCAACTTTAATTTTGGGATGCCGTCTATCATTCCAGTGTTTTTTTTTCAGAACTTAATAGGCTATGACAGCCATTTATTTATTAAAAAGCGCTGTTGTGAAAATGATACAAAGTAATGAAAAATATATTTCATATTCAAAGTCAATATCGGTTGATAGAATTGAATACTCTGATAATAAGATTAGAAAAATTTATCGTGACTTCATTGGATAGTCTTGATGAAAACTTGGATCTCCTAGGGCCAATACTTTTGCTCTCGATTAACGAATTTGATACGTCGTCAAAGTTTTGCATGGGCTAAGGTCTATAAGTATGATGTGGTTAGAGCACATTTAAACCCCTGATTTTCTTTAACGGCTGTCAAATGAGAGCAAAAATACCGGCACCTATTTATATCGGGTCTTCAAAAAAAAAAACAATCAAAGATTGCTATGGTTTTTTAAACGTACGTCTTAGCAATATTTTTCTTTAATTTTGACAATGTCAGTCAATGAAATTTAATGTCAAAATGTCATGTCAAAAATCCTAACCAATAAAGAAACAATAATGCGACGTACGTTTTCGTAACCAAAGCAATCTTTGATTGGTTTTTTTTTTGAAGACCCGATATAATCAATGTATAGAAATCAAAAAAAAAAATTCCAAGATTCAAACCAGTTTAATGAAATTAGAAATAAAGGTACCTATATCTCCTTATTCTTATTTAGACTCGATGTCTTCAGATTCTTTAGATCATGAAATAGCTAAAAACATTTAGAATTTGTTTGATTGTTAATTCTATCAAAAAGGGTCAGAAATCCTGATCTAACAAGTTACCAATCGCAAGCCAGCCTCAATAGACAGTAGCCAATGCAGAGGAGATTGAGGCACTCAAATCTCAAGCAGAGACACACACTACTAGTATTGCTGACCTGAATCTAACTATCACTCAGATGACGACAACAGTCTCAACTTTATCTGTGCAGTGTGAACAATATGCTGCGGCAAACAAAGAGCTAAATCATGAAATTTACAACTTGAAGAACGCTAGTCACCACAGTTCTATACAAGACCTACACCTCTCTGAATCAGCTCTGTTTAACGATCTACACAAGAAAATATTGAACACATTTGAGGACAGATTCTCCTCACTTGAGAGACAAATTAGATCTCTAACCATAAACGTGACGAATCTAAACTCTACGAGCCACAATCAGGAACAAAGCCCCTCAACTGCAAACCCCCTATACAAGCAAAACGCCCAGAAGAAACAGTAGCCAGACAAAACAAGGGCGTCCAGCGATCACTGGAACCAGGACGCCAGAAAATTTCGAAATATCAGCTGCTAAAATCTCTCCCAAAGCTTCCATATTTGTTCGCAAGCTCTTCAACAATGTCACCAAAGAAAACTTGCTGCTATACCTACAAAATACTTTTGCAAATGATCAAGAATACACTCTGGAGGAAATCAATACAAAGTCAGGGGACTACAAAGGCTTCAAAGTCAAAGTAAATAAAGATATGGAAATTTCTCTACTGGATCCCAACAAATGGCCTGTTGGTGTGGAAGTTACAAGATTTCGATCGTTTCGTCCAAATACTAGATTCAACTCAACAGCACGAGGCCCAAGCATTTTTCGCCGCACAACCCAGCAATAACTGCCACACGCACCGCCCAACCTCCAACTTGCGCAACTTAGACGAAACTGTCAGCTGTTACTACCAGAATGCAGATGGTCTAAGATCTAAAACCCACCAACAGCTACAAATTTAGCTTGCTTCCAACAATTCCTAATCTCTGCAACGGAAGCTGGAAAACAAGTGGACATCATCTACACAGACTTAGCCAAAGCTTTTGACAGTGTGTCCCACTCCATCCTACTGAAGAAACTGCAAGATATTGGTTTCAGTAATCGATTTCTCCAATGGACTGCTTCCAACTTACAGGATACGCGATAAAAGGTCAGAGTCTGTGGAGCATACTCTGATAGCATCGAAGTCACATCAGGGGTCGTCCAGGGCTTGAACCTTGGTCCGGTCTTATTTCTACTGTTCATCAATGATGCGGTGAGTCACTTTAAACATGCTCATTGTCTTCTGTACGCTGACGACTTGAAAATCTTCTGTACCGTCAATCAAACAACACAGACACAGTAGGATGGTGTGGAATAAACCACCTACTTCATCTTAATGCTGGGAAGTGTAAACATATGTCTTTTTACCGAATCCAAAATCCTGCTACCACAGTTTACAGAATAAATAGCACAGAGCTAGAAACTGTCAACACAATATAGGATCTATATGTCATCTTTGATACAACATTGACTTTCAATAATCACATCGACCATGTTAGCACCAAAGCATTCCGACTATTAGGCTTCATAAAGCGGAACACCAAAGACATTGATGACGTGAAAGCGATAAAATGCCTGTACAACTGCCTAGTCAGATCCTTGCTAGAATATTGCAGCATTGTTTGAAGCCCAAGCTACAATATCCATGTCAACCGCATTGAAATGGTCCAAAGTGAATTTACAAAATATTTACTCTTCAAATTAAACTTTCCATATAGACAATTGGACTATTACACTAGATTTGCACATTGTGGAATGAAAAGTTTAGAAACTCGCAGGAGAAACTTCCTGATAGTGTTTCTCTATAAACTCTTCAACAATTTGATAGACTGCCCGGCACTACTAGAACAAGGAACAAGTAGGATTTCTAGTTCCATCTCTAAGAACTAGACAGGGGCTACTATTCTATCAACCAAGGCACAGAACAAACTATGGGCAAAGTGCAATTGTTACTATAGACTCGTCACAAACTACAACATACGCTTTGGTGATATAGACATTTTCAAGATTACTCTACCTAAATTAAAAAGCCAAATTTGCTAATTTAATCTAGTGTTACTTTCTACCTTACTTTTCACCTTTATTTCGTGAGTTTGTTATGTGCCATTGTTTTTTTTTATATTTTGTATTTGTGTTTATATTTTGTATTTTATATTTGTATTCTATTACTATTGTTACTATTGTAATTATTCAATTTGTTACATTTTCAGTGTACCATTTAGTATTTTTCTGTAGTGTGCACTTTAAACAAACTAAATAAATAAATACAAAAAAACTATCTAGGAAGTTCTATGGGTTTTAGATGAATCAATAATAAGGGAAGGTGGTGAAGAACAAAGCAAGTTCTAGCGATGGATGTTTTTTTTTTTGTGAAATTCACGGTATATACAATCGGCTTTTAAAACGAACGCGTGGTAATACCGACAAAATCCTCCGAGGTTGAGTTATATAAAACGTAAAAGCTCCATTCGGATCACTGGATTTGGAGATTTTGCGGTAAATAGAGTTCCGAAATGATTTTCGCGAACTTTGCGCGCCCCCGGATATTAAAGCCCGCTCTAAAGGTATATTGTTATTTTTGAATTTATTTTCATCCTGGATTCGAAATAGTAATCTCTCCTGGAATAAAAAAACTATCTGACATAAATTTATCAGAAAAATTTATATTAGTAAATTCCCGGAGTATATTCTATTATTTATTTTCCGGAAAAACAGACCTAAAATTGGGGTTTACAGGCTTCGCACGTGCTTCCGAATGCCCTAGGGACGCCTAATTTTACTTACGGGTCATGGCCCATTTTTTTCTTTTGCCTTTTCATCGTAATTAAATTCCTTGCCGCAGGCCTAAGGTGAAAAAACTTTTGTTGTCTTTTGATATGTGAGCCATCTAAACACATTACACAATGATTTTCATTGGAATAATCAGAAACTAGTTTCCATGTTTATTGGTTTTCTAGACTTTGAACTTTTCTTCAACTGAAAGTTCCCAAACTAAATCTGTAGCTTCTGAATATGTAGTTAGTTGTTGATAGTGCAGCAGTGGTCGTACTCCTTCTGGTGTCACTATATGGCCTAAATATGCTAGTTTTTGTCTGAGGAATTCACTTTTGTCAAATTGAATTTTAAATTGGTTTCACGTAATCTTTGAAAAACCAATTTGAGTCGTACTAAGTGCCCTTGTAGCGATGTGGAAAATATAATAATGTCAGCTGTGTATAGTGTATATAATACATTTTTCGTTCTGAATTTCTCGTAATATACTGTCCATTTGAAAAGTGGCGGGGGCTTTCTTCAGGCCAAATGGAATACGCAGAAATTTGTAATGGCCATTTTTCGTATTAAATGCGGGTTCCTCTATGTCGTTCTTATTCATCTGTATCTGGTGAAATCCGCTGGCCAAGTCCAATGTAGTGAAATATTGATTGACATTTTCCTAATTTGTCTAATAGGTCGGTTATATTCGGTAGGAGGTACCTATCTGTAACATCGTCATAATCCGGGTTTAAATCGTAGTCGTTTGAAATAGATGGATATGCTCCTGTTTTTCTTTCTGGATATGCCTTCTGTTGACCTATTTAATTCTTCTAAATTTCCTTGTTCCTTGCATCTATTTTTTTTTCTAATGTTAAGTTTTAAATCAAAATCCCAACTTGGAAAAATTGAAAGGAACTTCAATATTTTTAAAGGAAGGTTAGTTTGGGTCAGATGGATTTGTTTGATTCAACATTTGGACTATTCCAAGCTCTTGATTCGCTGGCAAATGTTTCTGAAGGCATCTAAGAGCCGGGAATAATCAAAATTTTCAATCATTACCAGATTCTGAGTTACCGGACACTTTGAGCCTAGGGTTCATAGACTTTGGTTATTACTTATCCCAGGAAAAATCTACGGCAATTCAAAAGGCGGTAATGAATCAAAATTTGGACTATTCCAGGCACTTGATTCGCTGGCAAATTTTTCTAAAGACATCGGAGAGCTGGGAATAATTCAAATTTTGAATCATTACCAGTTTCTGATTCACTGGATTGGGATCTTTTCATTATATGAAACAAACTGGAAAAGAATCTAAGCCAAAGCGACTCAAATATAGTCGGTTTGAAAGTAATCAGATTTAAATTTTCCAATGTCAAATTAACAAAATTATAAATCATGTGATACTTTTTTTTTTTTTTTTTTACGGATATGCGCACTCGCAAGGAAATGTCCTATCACGCTCGAGAAGCGGCGGATACTGTCATGTTTCTCATTGGCCAATAACTTCTTTTCATTGAAAAAAAAGTTGGCAAACTCTGAAAATTCCAAACCCACCTGGGTATTTTCAATCCATTAATCCCGTCCCCTCTAGAGGCAATTTCACCCCTTTTTGTTAGGCAATAACAAGATTATAATAGCTTTGCAACGTCGATTACCATTTTTTCTCTATTCCCTCTAAACACGAATCCATCAAAAGTGGCGTTCGTAATTTGATAAGCGAAAATTGCAAAATAATTGAATTTTAACGGACAAGCGCTTGGCCATAAAATCTCAATTTAGGTATTAAAATTGGCTGAAATGATACATACCTATTGGTTGTTTGAAAAATCTAGGCATGTACCAGCTTGCAGCTAACTTTTTAAGTTCTTCCTGATCGTGTAAGGGATACATTTTGCTTATTAGCTCACGGTTTTGGGCAAATGGAATAATTGCTTGGTTTTCATAGAGCTTATAAAGCGAGTAACCTGCAACAAATAATTTATTTATCCATATGCAAAAACTCATTATGATTCTTAGAACCTGGAATATGTTTTTCATAGTTGGCCGCCCTAATATTTTCCAATTCGTGCAGGACTATGGTTTGTTTGTCGGACAAAGTTAACAAATCGTCTATGGTTTTTCCGTCGGCCAGAAATTCGTCCAGCTCGGCCACGGAAAATTCTCTGGGGTTTCCTTTCGAATAGGGTTTCACCAATTCGATTTCTTCGGCTACTTCTAATAGTTTGATTTTTGTTGCCGAGATATGAAATGTGAATTCCTGAAAAGAAATATCTGGTAAATTATAGTAAAAATAATCATATTTTCCAACTAAACATTGTTTCACAAGGTAAGAATTTCAATACATTTAAAGTGAAACCATCAACCTAGTTTAATTTCACTTCTAGAAAACTTAATTAGTTCACATTTCAGCTCTAGAAAAGCTAGGAATAAGATGTTTACGCCTGTCTAGTTCAGTTTCAGTTGTAAAATCTGCGAGAGTCAAAACGCAACTTGACACCCTCTGACGGCCTATCGAGATATGGTGTTAGGGTGAAAAAATAGCAAATGCTTGTCATAATTTATCCTGAAAATATGAATCTGTCAGCACGTGCAGATTTTGAGATATAATTTTTTTGATATCTTCACCCCTATTTTGACACCTTCTGACGGCCTATCGAGATATAGTGTAAGGGTGAAAAAATAGCAATTGCTTTTGATAATTTATCGTGAAAATATGAACCTGTCAGCACGAGCAGATTTTGAGATATGATTTTTTGATATTTCCACCCCTATTATGATACCTTCTGACGGCCTATCGAGATATGGTGTTAGGGTGGAAACATAGCAAATGCTTGTCATAATTTATCCTGAAAATATGAATCTGTCAGCACGAGCAGATTTTGAGACATAATTTTTTTGATATCTTCACTCCTATTTTGACACCTTCTGACGGCCTATCGAGATATGGTGTAAGGGTGAAAAAATAGCAAATGCTTTTGATAATTTATCTTGAAAATATTAACCTGTCAGCACGAGCAGATTATGAGATATAATTTTTTTGATATGTTCACCCCTATTTTGACACCCTCTGACGGCCTATCGAGATATGGTGTTAAAGTGAAAAAATAGTAAATGCTTATCATAATTTATCTTGAAAATATGAATCTGTCAGCACGAGCAGATTTTCAGATATAATTTTTTTGATATCTTCACTCCTATTTTGACACCTTCTGACGGCCTATCGAGATATGGTGTAAGGGTGAAAAAATAGCAAATGCTTTTGATAATTTATCCTGAAAATATTAACCTGTCAGCACGAGCAGATTTTGAGATATAATTTTTTTGATATCTTCACCCCTATTTTGACACCTTCTGACGGCCTATCGAGATAGGTATAGTCGAGGGTATAGTGTAAGGGTTAAAAAATAGCAAATGGTTTTGATAATTTATCCTGAAAATATGAACCTCTCAGCACGAGCAGATTTTGAGATATAATTTTTTTGATATGTTTACCCCTATTTTGACACCCTCTGACGGCCTATCGAGATATGGTGTTAAAGTGAAAAAATAGCAAATGCTTGTCATAATTTATCCTGAAAATATGAATCTATCAGCACGAGCCGATTTTGAGATATGATTTTTTTGATAATTCCAACCCTATTTTGACACAGATTTTAGGTTATAATATTTTCTTATATTTCCGACGCCACTGGCCGTTCGGCAGTTTCCGGAAGTTTTGGAGGCTAATACCTAACTTAAGAGGCTAATTTCACACCGGTGTTTTACAAGGTACCTAAGAAGCTAAGAACTTCAATAGATGTTTAAACTCTCTAGTTCAATTTCACTTTTAGGAAAGTTATTTAGTTCACATTTCAGCTCTGTTTAGCAGTGTTGCCAATTAGCGTGTAATTACACGATTTGCGTGTATTTTGATTGGCTTGCGTGTATTTTTCGAACATAAACAAAGAGTGTGTATTTTGCGTGTAATTTGAAAAATTTTACATTTTCTCAATTTTTGTCTGTTTCACGGCTTCCCAATCTAAACAAATGATCTGTCAAATGACTACCCTTATGGCCAAGGATAATACACACTAGGGATTGCTTATAGGCCTCGTTTTTAGTAATCGCGGTCATATGGTTTAGCACCATTGCCGACGTCATTAACTAAGTCGTCAGCTGGTCAGCTGCTTGCGTCAGCGGTCGTTTTAAATTTATGATGAAAAATGTTAATTAAGTTTGATTATAGGCGAAGCGGAAGACGCAAACGAGATATGAGAAACAGTTGTTTTATAATGTTATTTAATGAAGACGAGAAATGACACGCTGCCTACGTTATCACTGGTACTTTGGCATGGCAGGGGGGCTTGAGATTTGAACTACACAGGCCTTATGAGGATAGGCTATCCTGTAGTAGTAGTAGTGTGTAGTATGCTTGCAGGAAACTCAGGTCCAAAAGTAACCTTCTTCCCAGGAACCAGAGTAATTAGTGATTTGATTACTTTCGGAACGCTTTTCTGTAGTTGCCACATCTTTATTTTTGGTTGGAAACGATGATCAGGAGCATTAACCCTCAGATTTGACTGGATTTAACCCATTTCCCAATATCATAATACACAAAAAAAAAAATTATACTTGTTTCTTGGTGTTACAGAATAGGTACCAAGATCGTGTGTAAAAATCGTGTAATTGTGAGAAATGAAATCGTGTAAAAGCGTGTAATTTGACCAGCATATCGTGTAATTTCACAAATTCAGATTGGCAACAGTGGGTTTTAGCTTTAAAACCTATACAAGAGTCAAAAATGAGCTTGTTAAACGTTACGGCACTGTAGCTCAATTTTGAAAAAACCTTAATGTTTCATACTTCCATAGTTTAATTTCAGCTTTTGTAGAGCCAGAAGTCAACTTCTCTGGTTTACATTTCAGTTCTAGACAAACCGGGGAAATTTGTACGTATATCTTTTTGCAAGTCAAAAATGAGCTTTTTATGCGCAACTGTAGCTCAATTTTGAGTTTGGAATTGCAAAAATTTAATGTTTCATGTTTCATAGACTTTTTTAGTTTAATTTCAACTTTAGTAGAGCCAGAAATAGGATACTAAATCAATTTGACATTTTAACATGATGAGCTCCTTGTCCTGCTCTTTTCACCCCAAAAGTATCAAAATTTTCCTTTCACTAGTTTTAGAAAATTATATCAAAATGTTCAATTTCCTATTTGAAAGTAGATTTTCTAGGATTTCTCACGTTTTCATTTCTTATACCTACTATCAATTTGAAATTTTAGTATGATGTGCTCCTTTTCTTTCCTCTTTTCACCACATTAGCTTCCCTTCACTAGTTCCCCAAAAAACTATCAACTATATCCTGTTCACAATCGGAAGTCCACAGGTGCAGGTGAATTTATCACCTTTCCCTATCAAATAGCATTGAAAGGTGATGAATTATACCTGTACCTGTGGACATCGGATTGTGAACGGATAATACTTACCTACAAGTGAGATTTTCTAAATTACAAGCAAAATATGTGAATTACCTACTTAATTCAAATGGGGATTTCTGAAGTGTAGGTACCTATACATTTGAAAAATCTAAATTCATTCTGAATACCTACATTCTAATAATCTGAATTGCGATTGAAGTTTTCTGAAATACATTTGTGTTTTTCTAATTTACACTGATTAGAAAAGGTGTAGAGAGAATCTGTGCGTAAATCATTGTAATAATTGACACAAAAATTGCAGAAAATTCTTACCTCATCAGCATTAGTCCGAGGTTGTAAAATGGCGACAAGCTCGCCGCCGCCGTCCGATTTTTTGCCTCGTATTTTTCCGGCGAACCATTGCAAAGCTTTCTCGTGTATACTCGGTATAATTTTTATGACGATGTATGTTTCCGGTAGCTCAGTTTCCTCGTTTTTCCAATGTTCCAGACCGGAAATTGAGCTAATATCCGGTTCGCGTCTCTGCGACATTGTTGATGGCCTCTCTGGAACTATCTTTTTGCTATCTGCTATCTTTGGGATTATGGAATTTATATGGGATGAGATTTGATTTAGGATGTTTTCTGGAAATAAAATATTTTATATTTATTGAAGAAATAGTGTCCAAACAGTTCAAGTTTGGGATTGAAAGTGTGAAAAAAAATTAAATTATTCTTGACACAATGGCGGAATAATACAAAAACCTTTTTTTTAATAGCAATTATTTTAAATTTTTTAATTTACCATGGCTTTCTTTGTTATTTTAACATGGTTTATGAGCGTATTAATTAATAAAATAAATAAAGCACCTCTAAATAAAACAAAGTTAAATTCAATCTGGTATCTATTTTTATTTTTATATTAAGCAGTATTAGTATTAAATAACTTAATCAGTCACACTAGGTACCTACCTATTTATTAATTAAATCAACCCTGTATTAAGAATCAACTATCAAATGGATATGAATTTTGGTTATTTGAATTTTTTATACTTTCTTACCAATAAAACACTAAAACTAAAGTAGGGTGGGTACTACTTTTCCTTTAATTTACTAGATTTAAGGTTAGATTTAATTCATTTGACTCAAGTATATAAATAAAATAGTACCGGTTGCCAGCTGACTGCTAAGTGCTAATAATAATTGTTAATTACCAAGCATGAAATACATCTATTGAAGACCACTTTAAAACAAAATGGTAAATCATTGAAGGTCCCTACAATCATTGAATTAAAGTTTTAAAGTAGTAGACTTCATACAGTTTTTCACTAGCTTTTCTGCTGACCGATAGATGGCAGTGCAATAGCAAACTGAATTAAAATCATTACTGTTCAAGTTAAAAGTTAGTTGTTATTATAATTGAACTAATAATTAGAGAATGTAATAAGAGGAAGGTGTAATGAATTTGAAGAAGGATTAAAATTAAAATCAAATTGATTCTTCATTAATCGATGATAAATTAAATTATTGATACCTCTAAAGTCATTTTGCTAGAGATTCTGGGCTAAACATTCTAGAATTACAAGCAAAGCAAAAAGAAGACAACTTAAGGTTTTAATCGTATCAAATTAAATTAAAAAAAGAATACAAGTCCATCATCCACCCACTTTTTCCCACACCCAGATTTTCCCACGACCCGACCGTAACCCCGTATCCTTGGGTTGCGAATGTTGCGATGGTGCCGCATCTTCAAAAAAAAATCTTTGACGGATTAATAATAAATAACTTATTACTATTGGTTTTTTGATTATTAAGGTGCCTTCACTGAAAGTACCGAAATAACAATTTGCTGTATTTCAATAAATGAATTCCCATAAATGTCTTTTGTTTAAATATAGAGCAAATTGAAAACGGAGTAGGTAGGTAGGTAGGTACCTGGTACCTGGTACCTACCTATATACTTATACTATATACATAGGTACCTACCTAAAGAAAATACATCAAAATAATTGTTACAAAAGTGTTTTGTTGTAATAAGTCTTGTCTTGATTAATAATTATTTATCTTATTTGATTTGTGTGTACCTACCTACTTACCTTACTTTACTCACTCACTTTTGCTAGACCTCTTGAAAAGTTTGACTTTATCTTTAAAATATATAGGTAAAGTATATTATTTGATAAATTCTAATAAAATTATTATCTTGAAACTTTGAGCCATAAGATAGGTACCTACTTATATACTACACTGTTCAATGTTAGAGTGGTTCTTGAATAAATTATTCAACCATATACTGTCAATGATACTTCTAAAATTGTCCAGGAAATTAGGAAATTGAAAATTCAGCTTGGCAACACCGTTTCATTAAGTAACAGGGGCACAGGGTCTTTTCGGACGGTCGGTATTAATTGAAAAAGGCCCGAGAACTGAGAAGAAGGGAAGCGTGGGAACCATTTTATACGGGTGCATCACAAACAGTACTTTAGTAATTAATAATAAGTAATAATTATCTAAAATCCATTCATTCTCTTTTTTTTTTAGAATGGGTTGCTAAGAAAATCTGAGGAAATTATGGTGTTGCCCCTGATGTGTAAAACAAAAAATCCCCGCAACCAGACAATGTTTGATTTGATTTAGGCAAATTTGAATTAAATTTTTTTTGTCACAATGAAAATCCTATTAATATTTTGCTTCAAAATAGGGTGTTTGCATAAAAAAATTATTTAAGAATCTTCATTATAGCTCCATGAGATAGAGTAAGTATCCAAAAAGTCCTCGCCAAACATGAAACTCTATGAATGAAGAAATTCAGAAATGGAAATCATCAACACTAAAATTTTTAGAAACGATTTTGATTGGTTCAGACGTCACAAATACTTAGTTGAACGTTGAACGTTGCCAAATCAATCTTCATAATAGGCAACTTTTATATTTTGCAAAAACATATTTCAATTATTGTGTTAGTCATTCTGATAACATCTGCATATATTCTTTTCCGAAAAAAAAACGCCCATTTTTGAAAATAAAATGATTTGACAATCGATATTTTAAACAGCTGTGAAAACGCGAGTTAAAAATCTGTGACGTCAGAGTCCCAAAAATTGCGAGTATGCAGAATATAGTGTTATAATGAGCTCATTACATCACTATATTTTATTTATTTATTTTGAATGTAACTAATTTAAAACTAACAACTGAAACAAACTAAAATAACAGAAGCAACTTAGTAAACTCAGAGTTATGTTAAAAAGGTCGAAATCAAAGAAATTAGTTTTATAGTGTGTGATTAGTCAGACATTTTTGAGTTTTGCCCATAATTTGTTCTGTGGACTGGCTGGAAGAAAAGTTGCCTTTGTCTAGTTCTTCTTGTCAGGGACGAGGAAATGGATTTCTTGTAAAAGTTCAGGTAAACAAGCAATACCACATATCAGCTTATATAAAAAGATGAGTTGTGCTTTGGTTGTACCATCGTCCCAAAAGTAACTGGGACAGCTTCACATTAGCTCTTGTCCTATTATATGAGAATTAAGCCACACTCACACAACAGTAAGCGAGTGTCCAATTTCTGGTAAGAAAATCTTAGTTTGTATAACAAGTACCTATTTAACAAATTTATTCTGAATGTTTTGATCCTCTGGAAGTGACATAGTTAGCGTGTCCATATTATACTGCAGTACCTATTCCAATGTAGACCTTATTAGACTAAAGTAAGTATATGGTTATTGCTTCGACATCATATATATCTCTAGTGTTTCTCTTGATAAAGCCGAGCAGTCTGAGACTCTCAAGCACAACATTATCGATATGTTTAAGAAATTATATGTGCAGAAATGGATTCATAATGGTTTTGTGGAAACTTATTCCTTATGCACTTCTTGGGGTTAAGCTTCAATAGATTTATGTTACGCACCAGTTAGGCCCAGTTTCACAAAGTATAGTAAACTACTAGTTATGAGATAACTACTAGTTAAAACGAAAACAGCGTTTCACAATTGACGGTTCAACGTGACACCTTTAGTTAACCAGTAGTTGAATTAACCCAAGGATGCGTATGAGTTAATGATGAGTGAGCTGAAATGCTTCGTTTTTTAGTGAGTCTTTCCAGGTCTGGTTGGAGGCGGTTGGAATCTGAATCCACCGAAGCCAAATGCTTAAGGTCATCGGCGTACAATAAACTGTGCCGATGTGTGATCCCTGAGGCTGGTACTGAAAACTCATGTGAGAGTACACCGTACATGTTTATGCGTTGTTGCCGCCCAGTTAAGTAGGACCTACAAATGTTCACTAAAACCAATACATGATAATTTTCTCAGTAAAATCTTATGACAGACGCTGGTCGAAAGCTTTAGATACATACATCTAAGTATATATGACATCAACTTGCTTCCCTGACTCCAAAATCACAGTTAGGGCCGTTAGGGCCCCTAATGGACATATTTTCTTCGAATTTATATGTAATGATAAGATGTTGATATTTTCCATATTGTAGGAAAAATTTATATCACACACACTTTATTAGTAATAAAAGTTCTTACACAAATGAATTTATGAACTATTTTAAACCAGTAGGTATATACCTAACTTTGAATGCCTGTAACAGTATTCAATAAAGTCTATATAATGTTCTTACATATTTTTTACCTTCATTCTTACATCTTGAGTAGGAGTCACACTGCTTTAATTCTACGGGTATACGGTATAAGGTACCTGACCCAAATAAGGCCATGTACCTAATAAGGCCAGCGCCCTTTATTGCTCAATATTGAATCCCATTTCCAAAAATTACAATATTATTAAAAAAGAAATCTATAATGCAAATCAAAAATTATTGCAAGGGTTCCTAGCAACTCGTCATATGTCGAAAAATGGCCAACCACATATTTCATATGTCACGTTACAACTTTGAGGCTGGAACTCAATTAGCTTATATACGTATTTGTAAAGTGAATGGAGGGATTGTAATTTTTTTAACGGACATTTATGTTTCGAGAAAGCTACAGAGTAAGTACAGAATATAGATTTCTAGTTACAGACTTTTTTTTATCAATTTAACATGTTCCTCATAAGGCCATCATACAAAAAAAAATGTTCAATTGGCTTCACATCACAGTGTTTTTTTAAAAGAATGTGTCATATTATTAGCTTTGTGATATTTTTTGAAATGCCTGGAGTCTCTCCAAGCAAGAGATACTGCGGTTCATTTGTCCTAGTTGTATGTAGACCTATTCGGATCACCATTCCAGAGGACTAGGAATTATTGTTTTTTCAGGAATGCAGCGAACGTATAAGTTCTATTTTATGTACTATTTCTCAAATAATAATATTTTTATAAAAAATTGTATTTATTTTAAACATTTTTTAATGGTGGCCTTATTAGGAGCATAGTGATCCAAATAAGGCCAATGGTAAGCGTCTTTGTTTTACGCAAAAACCCCCACTTATATAGAAAAATAAATAAATTGGAGTTTATATTCAAGTAATAGAAGCAAAACACTTCACATATAAGCTCGTGATTTTTGTTGGATTTGGTGGATAATGTTAGGAAAAAATAAAACTTCTTAACGTGGTCTTATTTGGGACAGGTACCTTACATCAAAACATTCTGCCGCCCAATCTAGCCATATCCCAGAAATTTGACCAATCAAATTCGATGTGGCTATTTTGAGCGGCATAATGTTACTACATGGGCTAGATCAGGGGTCAGAATGTCGGGACGGCCTGTTGAACTTGTATGTTAGAAGTGGTGCATATTTTGTTTATTTGTCGCTCATTGCTCTATTGAAATTTATGCGAAGACATTTTAATATTTATTCATGATGGTGATGGATGCGATAAAACTACCTACATCGTTTGTTTATTCGAATGTGAGTGAAAACACTTATCGTGCAAAAGGAAAAATAGTACATACCTACATTGATGGCCGTTTGCACCGACCAATTTATGAAAGGAGGATAAAAAGGTAATCCTTAAAGTGACATTTTCCCCCATGCAAAAATGTCATTTTAACGTAGACTTATCGTTAAGGCTTCCTTAAAATAGTCGGTGCAAGTAGCCATTAATGTAGGTACTATTTTTCCTTTTTTTTATTTCATGTACGTGCTTTTTTAATTAAGGTAAAACACCTAATGCTAAATCTAAATTTATTGACCCCTTATATCCAAAATGGAAATATTTCTCAATTCCTCCGTTTCAATGAAAAAATTACCAATTCAATCAATATATTCCTGAAAAAAATCCATAGGGAACACGAATAAAATCTAAATTTCTGAATTGAATAACACGTACAAAAAACAGCTATAGATTTTTCAACATCAAACATTGTTTGTTAAATTTAATAGTAATGCTCTATCGCCTGTAACATTCTGACCCTGAATCTAGCCCATGCAATAACATTCTGACCCCTCAAATAGCTCCATCATCGTCCCAACATTCTGACCCCTGATTAAGCGCATGTAGTAACAATATGCCACCCAAAATAGACACATCGAATTTGATTGGTCAGGTTTTTGAGCTATGGCTAGATTGGGTGGCAGAATGTTTTGATGCATATGGTATACTGTTAAACATTTTTAAGCACACACTAAACAAAGTGTCTGAAAAACACTGATGTAATAGTTATTTACCTAACAAATGCGGAAAGTGATACTTTACCGCACGCAACGGCAGTTAAGGGCGGTAAAGGCACTTTCCGCATGTGTTAGGTACAAAATTTTACCTATGAGCATCTACACCTCCAAAAAAAGCATTGATAAAATTAATTAATGAATCAAATTAATTAATGGAATAAGATTAAATTAAGAAAGGATCAAAAATCCTTTTTCTGAGAAAGAAAGCAATTTTGATTTTAAATATCAAATTCTACTTTACCGCACACTATGCGGTAAAGTGGACTACAAAGTGTTCGGTAAAGTGCACTTTACCGCATACTATGCTGTAAAGTTAACTTTACCGCACACTATGCTGTAAAGTTAACTTTACCGCATAGTGTGCGGTAAAGTGATACTTTCCATTTCCAAAAACGTGCGGTAAAGTGCACTTTACCGCACGCTCGTAGGTAAAAATTATTTACTACACTGGATCGCGTTTGGTGAGTATGAACATCTCGCACATTAGTAACTTCATCAGATAAATATGAGGATAACATATCATGTTTTAGTTTAAAGACAAAAGTTAGCATTATCTAAGTAGATCTTAGATCTTTGTTGTACATTCATAAGATTTAATTTCTCCAGCATAGATTTTATTGGTGTTCTTTTGTTACAAAGTTATATTGCTCTCATGAAACGATTTTGCACTTTTTGTAGCGATTCTCTTTGAGTCAAATTAGGATAGTTATATAATGTACCGGAATATTGGAAATGAGAAGCAATCATTGACTTATAAATTGTGAGCTTAGCGAAAAGTGAAAAGTGAGATCTTGTTATTTATTCTTTACATAGAACCTGCTTTTTTGCCATTTTTTTTCTTTATGTAGTCCCAGTGCAAGGATAGATTAAACTCAAAATCCAGCATTACACCCAAATACTTGAAAGATTTAACCTGTCCTTACCGTTATTCATAATTATTTTTTCTGCTTTAATACTACTTTTCTTTAAACTTGATTGAGGCAGTGTTTAAAACCAAGAATCGTGAATTTCGCCTTTATAACATTTAGTTTTAAATCATTTTCTGTAAACCAGACATTAATATTTTCAAGATCTTTGTTAAAAGTTTCACCATTACTGTGATTTCATCAAATCACAAACAAAGCAAAGCAAAGTGTCATCTGCGAATAATTTTGTTTGACGAATGTATGACATGAAGAGCAATATCATTATTGAACATCAGGAGAAGAATAGGTCCCAACACTGAACCCTGAGGAATCCCTTGATCTATCCCTATGCTATTAGAATTGACATTTTTAAATTTAACCTTCCGAAATCTCTTAGTTAAGTATCCCTTGAACCATTTTAGTACTTTGCCTCGAAAATCATACTTTGCCAGTTTTAGTAACAAAATATCGATGTAAACTGTCTCAAAAGATCCAAAAATACTAGGTATACACCAATGACTTTTTTCTTCTGTATTTGATATTTCCAACCAGAGCTAATTTGTTCAAGTCAATCGCGTCTTGATCATACTGGGGCTCCTTTCCATACCTGAAACTTTCAAGGATAACAATTCCCAACTAACTGTGTGGAAAGAAAACTGGAAAAGATATTGTTTGAGAGCCAAATTATAGACCGATTGGTAACGTTTCTGGCAAATTTATCCTGCTGGTAGAACTAAAAATTTAATTCAATTTTTAGTTTTACCAGCAGGATAAATTTACTAATCACGATACCAGACGGGTCATAAGTTTTGATATAATCCATCAGACCAGAAATGCTTAACGTTTGATGGTATTAAATGTTGAGTATTGGTTACATGAAGCAGGTAGCGCATATGTCTCATGTCTGTAATGATATTTAATATACCGTCTTACAGTCTTACAATTATTGAGTATGCTCTGTTGTACTGATTCTGACCGCGATCTCCCAGTACTTTCTGTATAGGTAATTTATTCTTATGACCGATTAACATCCTTTATTTCACACTTGAACCCATACTTTGGATAGGTAAGTACTTATTAGTTTTCATTCTTGGGTACATAAATCGATGTCCTGGTATACTTATTATTTTGTAGAAGTGAGCGACGTAGGATAATAAACCTAACTTATTACGTAACTCAAACAGGCTAAAATGGGTTATTGTATCTATTCTTATTCTACTCGCGAATAATAACTGTTACCTACTCACTCAGATGATTACACTACTCGCCTGCGGCTCGTAGTACAAACTTCATCCTGGTGAGTAGGTAATAGCCATCATTACCCGCTCGTTGAAAAACATACTATGAAAAATCTAGCTCTATAAGCTGAAGGCGTATGCTGATTGGTAAATTTAATGCGTACTGAGTGTATATCTACGGGTATATCCATCTCTCTCTTTCAGCCTGTTAAAGAAACAGATAGAAAAACATTTTCTTTGCACTAATTACTAATCCTACCAACATTACCACATCTCTGATTACCACCAACCGAAAAACTCCATCAGTAGATTGGAAATAAACTTTTATTTTATTTAAATAAATCACAATGAAACAAGAATAAAATAATTAAGAGAGTAATTAAATATTGTAATTTGTGCTCTAATAAATCACTACAATAATTATTGCGAACAAGTATTATTAATTTGCTAAATTGCTATTAATAATAATTACTTCTTGCCCCTGATATTAATTTTTACTTTCTAAGATCCCCCGGTATCGAGCGCAAGGCAGATGCAAAGGGGCAAAATGACATTGGGCCGTTGCCAACCCAAATCTAACAAAACACTAAAATTTAGTAACACAAAACATTGTTTCGCAGCAAATCGAGGCAATAAATTGTAATAATTCAATTTAAAATTGTTAATAATTAATTAAACTCATATTTTTTCAATAGTTATTCCATAAGAAATCCAAAATTTATCGACAAACAAAAGTTCAATCTTCCGGGAGGTTGGCAACACTGTCGGAAAAACGAAGAGGTAAACAGGTGTTTTTCAAAACTGTTCACAAATCATCAAAAGAAGAGAAATGTGGGAGAAAAATACAGTCCAGAGACGATGACTGCATAAAAAACCAAAGAAGGGGGGCGAATCGACAGCTTCTGGTACCGCCAGGCCGGCCCGCAGTCCTACAGTAGCCAATTTGTCCGTCAATCGGGCTCCCAGTGTTTGTTTATATCGAGTGAAAGTTTATTTTGGCCCCTTTTTGCCATGAAAAAGTAAGTGAAATACACAAATAATCATGCCTCATCAGTACGGTTTACCGGGCATTGCCCATGCACAATCGCCCCCAACGCCGCCCCCTCAACACGGGGCCATGTACCCCCGATTCACTGGGGCTGTAGTGCCTGGAGGCTACCGAGGAGAAGACAGAAGACTCACTAGGGAGGCCATGGAAAAATATCTACGAGAACGCTCTGATATGGTTATAGTAATCCTGCATGCCAAAGTAGCCCAAAAATCTTACGGTAATGAGAAGAGATTTTTTTGTCCACCACCTTGTATTTATTTGTTTGGAGACGGCTGGAGGCTCCGCCAAGAGCAAATGCTTCGCGAAGGTGAACTGGAACAAGCCTCACAATTATGTGCATTTATCGGTATAGGAAATTCAGATCAGGACATGCAGCAGTTGGACTTGAATAATGGAAAACAGTATTGTGCAGCCAAAACTTTATATATTTCAGACTCTGATAAACGAAAACACTTTATGTTGTCAGTGAAAATGTTTTACGGGTCCGGGCACGATATCGGTGTTTTTCATAGTAAAAGGATTAAAGTGATATCGAAACCGTCGAAGAAAAAGCAGAGCCTCAAAAATGCTGATTTGTGTATAGCCAGTGGGACTAAAGTTGCACTGTTTAACAGGTTGAGATCTCAGACTGTTTCTACTAGGTATTTGCATGTGGAAAATGGACATTTTCATGCCAGTTCCACTCAGTGGGGTGCCTTTACTATTCACTTGTTGGACGATAATGAGTCTGAAAGTGAAGAGTTTCAAGTGAGGGATGGATATATTCATTATGGGGCCACTGTGAAGCTGGTTTGTTCAGTTACAGGCATGGCATTGCCTAGATTGATAATTAGGAAGGTAAGAATACATTTTTATGTGATCTGAGTGAGTTGAGGCAGTACACTGATGGCCAATAAATAAATAATATTATCTTTGTCAGTAATACTTACTTAAGTATTTTGTTTTTGCTTATCTCCTTCCCATTGCTGATTTGTGGCTTTTTTGCTTAAGCTCCCAATGCTAGTTTTGACATTTTTTCTAGAAATTATACTCGGAATTAGGTATACCTTTTTTGGAATTATTTTTTTTAATTGTTACTGTGTTCTCTAGCAGTAGCCAAGTAGTAGTCATTTTCTTTGCTTCCATAGATGTTTCACATTGCTGAATCAACTCTGAGAGACTTTTTGTTTTAAAAAACTTAGTCGTTGATTCGAGCATTGATCTTAGAGAAAATGTTTCTAAAAAATTAATTTATTTTATAAATACTTAGTTCATTTCTTATTTGGAGTGATTTACGCTTGGATTTACCTTAGGATTTACCCTAGGATTTAGCGTTATGGAAACAAAAATCAAAAAAATTTGAAAACAAAACTCTATACACCACAAACAAACTTTAGGTAATTCCTCGGGTATATACAAGGGTATCTACTTCTTTTTTCATTTTTCATTTTTTTTTTCTCTATTTCAGTGTGAAAGATTTTTTTTTTTCTTTTTATAGGTAATTTTCCACTAATTTCCTTTTTCTTCCTTTCCTCATTTTTATTGTTTGATTTTGTATTTATTCCAGTCTCTTGAATGTTCTTTATGTTTTCTATTTCTTAATAAAAGAAAACAAAAGTCTTGAGAAAAGTAAGTAAAATACAAGAGCTTATTGGAATAAGGATGTTTTTTTGGTTTAAGAACTCTAAATATGTATGCAGTACTAGTTTTGCGATTTTTTCTAGGATTTCTAGAATGTTTCTAGCATTTTTTGAAGTAATTTAATGGCATTTTATTATTGTTCCTGTGTTCTCACTTCTCTCAAGTAGTGTTGTTTTATTTATTTATTTATTTCAACGAATTTACCATTTACATTTTTAACAATATCATTACCTAATGTAAAACAATAACATGTAGGTACAAACTTAGCAAAAATAAGTAACAAATAAAATTTGAGGTTCCAATTCCTAATTTAAGAATTTGGAATTTTTATGTCTCATGCTCCAGGAACTCTTTCACCATTTTATCAAACTGTCCAAGAGGAATATTAAATATTATCAATATCCAATCTATTTATTGAACTTGCCATTTTGTTCAAAGGCAAGTTCCGTGCAACAAGGAGAAATTCTGTGTTATCCGCTGAGGAACTTCTAGAGACACCAGTTCTAGCAATCCAGGACTATGCTCGGTACTATCCATACTATTATTCAGAAGTTTAAACAAGAATCTAACATAAGTAAATTTTTTATTTTCTAAAGATTTGATATTTAATAAATTTTGCAAGGAGACATAATCAATCTACTCTTAAGTTTGTAATTTACAATCCGCAAAAATCTTCTTTGTATCTTCTCCAGCATCTCCTTGTATTTGCAATAATGTGGATTCCATATTGGACTAGCATAACCAATAATAGAACGAACTGAGGAACAGTAACTCTTGCAGTAGTTATAACAACTTGAAACAGTAAGTATGGGTCGAGGTATGGGTAGTCAATTTACTCTAAAGTGTGAGATATGAAGCCCAACAATCTTAATTTCTGTCAATAAAAAGTCATTTGAGATTATGGTAAGTCGAGTGGTAAGTATACTGCATTTTCTTGTCCTAATAATCTGGGTGGAACTTTGTTGTAGGTTTGTATCGATGTTTGTATACATCTATAGATGGGAGGGAGAGTTCTGGACCTTTGTTCTCTCGTTCTAAGATTGTTCTTGGTTGTGATAGTCTCTATTCAGTGTGGTCTTAACATTTGTTTTAATTAGGTGGTTTTGTATTTTGTACATAAGTTCTGCCTGCTCAAACATCTTCAACTGATCAATTTTTAGGTAGGGATACTGCCAGTATAGTGTTTCACTGGGTGTACAGTCCTTAGAGAATATTGTTTTTATTGATTTGTTTTGCAGTCTTTGTAGCTGTTTTAACTGTTCCAGAGTAGCATTTCCAAAGCATGGTATCATATACCTGAATGAAACTATTATAGATTAAATATTTTCAGTTTTCATTTACCATATTATTATGTCTACACCTCCTCACAGCTTCCAAGAATGGAGCAATTTTTGCATGAATACTTTCAATGTGTACTCCCCATGTCAGTTTGTCTGTTATTATAAGACCTAAGTATTTATCGAGGTATTTATATTGCTCCACTTTTTTGAGAATTTTGCCATTAATTTTAATTCGGTTTTAGAATAAACAGATCAACCACAAAAGCAGTATGCGAGCTTATGGAACATGTTGTCGGGGGCCTCGAAGAAGGGGAATATCGAGGGGGTAACCACTCCAAACAATCGTGTACACCAAAATAATATTTACAAAAAATTACAAAATATTTAATGATATTTACAAAATTACCGAAAATTACACACATTTACCAGAATTACCAATAATTACTAAAAAATTACACTACATTTACTAAAATTACTGAAATTACAAAAAAATTACACACATTTACTAAAGTTACTGAAATTACAAAAAAATTACACACATTTACTAAAATTACTGAAATTACACACATTTACCAAAATTACTAAAACCCCTTAACATCATTTCTAACTTGATTTTATAAGTAGTTTTTATATAGAAGGTAGGTACCTACTAATACATTAAAGTGCACTTTATTTCATTAGTAAAATAAATTACTGTCAATTTGAAAAATGACAAAATATTTTTAAAACATTATTTTTGAATTTTTCTGGAATTTTTATTATGATAGAAGAAATTAATCTTGTGTCAATTGTAATGGGTCTTCAAAGAAAAAAATCAGAGATGGCTCGGGTTTTTTAAACGTATGTCTCAGAAATATTTTTCTTCAATTTTGTCATTGCATTTTGTAATGTCGAAAACTTGGTCAAAAATCTCGACCAATAAAGAAATAATAATGCGACGTAAAGTCCGTCGTTTTTATTCTGACACTTTCCGTATGAGGAGCGAGGAGATGTTTCATAAGGCAAAAATAAGCGTCAGGTAACCATTGGCGTTCTAATGTAGGAAGCTACCAGCTCACATTCCTTTGGAGTATCAGATTAAAATCGACAGACTATATATATTTTTGTAATCAAAGCACTCTCTGATTTAGTTTTTTTTTGAAGACCTGTTACCAAAATGGCATAAAGATACGGCACTGTAAGCAGAAAATTCGCAAGAGGGACCAGAGGCACATTCACAATGATTTCAAATAGAGCTCCAGAAATTACAAATACGCGTGCGCGCGCACGTTCCGTTGGTAACGCGTCATCGCGTTTATAGAATAGGCGAGTTCGGTTAATCCTGCGCGAGCAAAAAGATGATAGACCTCAAAGTTATTATTGAGAGAGGCAGGTTGCCTGGATGGCTGACGTCATTTAAGATGCTTCAACATAATGCAAATCTCTATAGGGCACCCCAGATGCGTCGTCAGGTTGCCCATTGCCGGACAACCTATCAACTTTAGGAGACTTGGATAGAGTTCAAGTGATCTTTAATCAAGAACGATAAACCACAGAGAATGGTTACATCGGTGATATTTTTCCGCCAGTTTAGCTGGGGCACGCGCTGCTCTAGGGAAGTCACCTCTGGCTCACTCGAAACAAGTTTTATGCGTTATTGTTATTGCTATAGGAGGATATTATGGTTTAACCCAAGGTTCCTGAGGCTTATGGATTGCCTTGTGATGGGTGGCCTGATGACGCGTCCGGGGAGCCCTATGGAGATTTGCATTGTGTTGAGGCACCCCGGATGACGTCATGAAGCTGTCAGGCAACCGGCCTCTCTCAAACAACCTTGGGTTTAGCCATTTAATGATGTGCCAATGCCAAAAAAGGCTTTTAATGCAATAAATTTCGACAAATTTTATATTAAACTTCTCGAATTTTCATTACAGAGGAATGTCGAGCAATGTAACTAATACCAAATCTTTGGATCGGTGGTTCGGAGTACGTCACGCATCTGGTCATTAACCTATGCGGTCGACTAAATTGGCGAACGTGGCGCTTACAAAAAGCGACTATCGTCTTATGGTTCATCGTTCTTGATCTTCTATGACTTCAAATGGAAGCTCACATGAGCTTCCGTCAATGATGTCATCTTTTAACTAGCGAAGAATTACCCGAACTCGCCTAATATTAGTTCACAGCTCACACGTTATAGGAAGGAATGTAATATTGACAGTTGAGTTGTAGAAGACGTTTCTGTACCAAGGATGATACACACCTACAGGATTGCTTATCAGCCTCGTTTTTGGTAATCGACGCCATATTGGTGTGTTACCATTTCGACATCATAATTGAGTTGTTAGCTGCAAGGAATATACACACCTACAGGATTGCTTATCAGCCTCGTTTTTGGTAATCGTCGCGATATTGGTGTGTCACCATTTCCGACTCCATAATTAAGTCGTCAGCTGTTTAAAGAGCCTACGTCAAGGCGAGAAATAACATGCTGCTTACGTCACAACTGGTAGTTTGGCGTAAGGTGGGGGAAGAGGTGGGGGATTTGTTACACACTGGCCTATGAGGATAGGCCATCCTGTAGCTCTATCTCCTGTAGTACAGTAGTAGTAGTGTGTATTATCCTTGCTTCTATACCTCAATGGAGCTCTTCCAATTGACAAGAGCTTGGTGGTAGCGCCCAAGAATAGGAGTGCTGCGTTGCCAAATTGACGTCAAAGTATATTATTTTGTTTGGGTTAGATTTTCCTAACACGTGCGAACAATGTTTATTGTTTAAAGAGTGACGAAAACAGCAGTTTTTAAAATATGTAGGTAATGTTTTCAAGTTATAGAAAATGATTTTTGACGAGAATTGTTTATTTTTCAATGGTCAGAGAAACTTTTTGCAGATGCTAGTTTGTTTGTGCAATCAAAGATTAAGATTTTGTTGGGATTTTCGACATTTTTATACAACAA